AAACATCTGAGATATTGGCTGTTCTGTTTCCTTAGATCTGGATCCCTTGGATGTGATAGCTCCAAAGACTACCATATATCATGTCATTTACAGTAACATATAAACTCTAAACCTTTGTTGTTTTAAGTCATTGAGACTCAGATGTCTTTCTCTCCTCTCTTTCTTTCTGTCTTTTTCCTATTCTTTTCTTACATTTGCTCCCCCAAGACATGGTGACTTAGGGTTTCTATTGCTGTGAAGAGACACCAGGACCACAGCAACTCTCATAAAGGAAAACATTTAACTGGGGCTGGCTTATAGTTTCAGAGGTTTAGTCCATTATCATCATGGCAGGAAGCATGGCAGCATGCAGGCCGACATGGAGCTGGAGAAGGAGCTACAAGTTCCTCATCTGAATCGGCAGGCAGCAGGAAGTGACCTGGTTTGAGCTTCTGAGACCTCAAAACCTACCCCCTAGTTACATACCTCCTCCAACAAGTCCAGACCTCTTAATAGTGTCACTCCCTATGAGCCAAGTATGAAAATACATGAATCTATGGGCCATTCCTTTTAAAACCCCACACAGGGTTTCACTGCATAGCCCTGGCTGTCCTGGAACTCACTATGTAGATCAGGCCGGTCTTGAACTCAGAGATCTGCCTGCCTCTGCCTCCTGAGTGCTGGAACTAAAGTCAGATCAGGCCGGTCTTGAACTCAGAGATCTGCCTGCCTCTGCCTCCTGAGAGCTGGAACTAAAGTCATGTAATACTATGCCAGGCTTTTGGGGGTTGTTTTGTTTTGTTTTTAACTTTTTTTTTTAAGGCGTGGTCTCTTGTAGCCTAGACTGGTCTTGAACTTGCTACATAGCCAAAGATAACCTTGAGCTTTGAGACTCCAATCTCTACTTCCCAAGTGAAGAGGAACAAGGTTGTCAAATACTGCTTAGAGGTAAAAGAGGTAACTGTAGTATAGGTGAGCACTACCGTGCCCTGCTTCAGTAGGATTTTATATACAAAGAATGCAGCTGGGCAACAGGAAGCTGTGTTGAAGTTAAACCTGGTAGCTAAGGACAGAATGCTCAAGACACCCTGCCCAGCTGAGACTGACCATGTGGAAAAAGGATTCAAAATATCTTCTTCTCACTTTCTGATGAATGTCTGAATTCTGCCTTAGCATGATAATTATTATTGTTGTTGTTGTTGTTATTTTTTTCCTTCGTATTTTTACAAGAATGACATCATTAGGCCAATGCACCAGCTTGGGAGATCTTGAGTGCCTGCTCTATGCACCTTCCCAATTTAGATGTGTAGTGCTCTTCTAGGCCTTCAAGTATTCAGTAACTACATGGGCTTATGAGAGTGGGACTCTTATAGAAAAGAAGCCAGAAGACAGTTTCTTATACAAAAGGCAGCCTTACCGGGTTTGGCCCATCTGTGGAAAGTGAGGAAGGACTTGACTGGTAAAGTCTCCTGGGAGTACCTTTTGCTATTGTGTTTTCTCTTAGCTCCCCAACAGGCATAAATGACTAGTATGTCCTGGGAGTTGGGTATATCTGAGGCAGTTTCCATATTACGTTCATTGGCAACATTCTTTCTCAACTCCCCAATTATCCACCTACAGCTTTTCCATATATAACCTTATTCATCATTTCTTCCACAGTGGAACTGAGCGCACTCTCAAAACCTGAGCCCACATCCTTAGGCATGCCTTGCTTGCTTGCTTGGGACAGAGTCTAGATTACATTGCTCATGCTTGCCTTGAACTTGGGATCTCCCTGCCTCTTGCCTTCTGAATACTGGGATTCTATGTGTTACCATCACTCCAGACTTAGTCATTGCTTCCTATTTCCTTACTGACAGAAGAGGGACAAGGTTGTCAAATACTGTTCAGAAGTAAGAAAATATTTATATTCTGTATGACTGTTTTAAGAGAGAGGAAAGAAATCCTCTGTCTTCAATTGGATTAATCCATCAGAAAAAAGCATGAAGTTGTCATGGTAAAACGACTTGACCTCTCACACCATGCTGTCCTTGGAGCATCTTTGAAAGTTGGATAGACAGAGGGTTTGTGTTGCTAGCTACTTGCAAATGCTTTCCTGAAAGGAATTTTGATAGGTGGGGAGATGAGATGTTTGAGAGGAATGCGAAATGGCGTGACAAGAGAAAGTGATAGTACAAAGGGGAAGGCTGTGACATCCTGCTGCAGTGCAGAAGCCTGGCTGGATTTGCTTCCTAAACCGCAGACTAAAAAATACTCATGTAATTTCACTTTCCAGAGACAACTACCTACCCATTCAATTCCCTTGGACCATGTCTTTGTTCTTCATAGCCTCTCCAACACGGGCACCAAATTTAAACTCTAGTCGGTGAACTTTTTCCCCATCTCTCATTTTTCCATGACACAAAGTCTAAATTTTCAAATTCTGATAACTATATAGAGTCCAGTAATTCTACACCCCCTAACACCCTTTTAAGGAAAGAGACCAGATAAGCCTGTGATGTTCATTAAAACGACGTCTCCAGGCTGGGTGTGGTGATATATGCCTTTAATCAGGAGGCAGAAAGAGGCCTGGCCCACTTGCTACTCTTGTAGAGGACCCAAGTTCAGTTCCCAGCACCCTCATGGTGACTCACAACTATCTGTTATCCAAGTTCCAACTGATTTGACTCTCTTCTGACTACATATACCTAGTGCACAGTCATACATGAGGCAAAATACCAACATATATAAAATAAAGTAAATAAATAAAATCTAAAAATAATTTTAAAAATAGAGAAGCTGTAACAAAGAATGACCAACAGAGAAAAAACAAAAGCTACATAAAGTGTCTATCAACCAACAGCAGGAAATGCCTTTTTAACGACAGCAGCAGTGAGAATTCAACTAGACACGTCACCTAAATGTCTTGCATTTTTGTTTGGGAGAAGAGTTTGAGAAGCTGGAAGGTGACTGTCCCAGATCATCTCCTATTATTTTGATTATTTCACACAAGTTAGATTGATCTTGGGAAGCTGAGCCATACTTTTGTCACCTTTATTATCATCTGCCTGTTCCCAGAATCTTGGTCTGGTTTCCTCTTTCTGTTGTTCCTGGGGAGCTCTGTCAAAAAAATTCAGGCGAAGCATCAAAGTGTAGACAAAAGGCAAAGTGTATTGGAGGGTACAGTAGTACACTCTCGGATGAGAGTAAGCCATTGTGCACACCAACCATGAGAGCATACCTTTAATTCCAGCACTTAGGAGGCAGAGACAGGTAGATCTCTGTGACTTTTGGGCCATCTTGGACTACATAACAAGTTCCAGGACAGCCAGGAGTACTTAGAGACCCTGTCTCAAAAAAACAAAAACAAAAACAAAAAAAAAAAAAAAAAAACAAAAAAAAAAAAACTACAACAACAAAACAACAAAACAACAACAAAAAGAAATAGCAGAGCTGGTGGTGGTGGCAAACGCCTTTAATCCTGGCACTCGGGAGGCAGAGTCAGGTGGATCTCTGTGAGTTCGAGACCAGCCTGGTCTACAGAGCAAGTTCCAGGACAGGCTCCAAAGCTACATAGAGCTGTCTCGAATACCCAATCCCCCCCACAAAAAAAGAAGTAGCAGACAGTAGCAAAAGGGTCCAAAGAGACTACTACCCCAGCCTACGTTGTTTTGTTGTTTTACATGTTTAAAGTGTTTTCTAAAACCTCTAGCAAGACTTTTTTTCTTTTTCTTTTTTTTTGTTTTGTTTTGTTTTTTTCGAGACAGGGTTTCTCTGTGGCTTTGGACGATGTCCTGGAAGTAGCTCTAGTAGACCAGGCTGGTCTCGAACTCCCTGAGATCAACCTGCCTCTGCCTCCTGAGTGCTAGGACTAAAGGCATGCACCGCCAACGCCCGGCACAACTTTTTTTTCTGAAAGGTTTTGTCCAACTCAAATGAGTGTCTGTGAGGAGCTGCTGATTGAACCTGGGATTGTACTTGCTAGGCCAGCACTGTAACACTGGGCTCTCTCTCTCTCTCTCTCTCTCTCTCTCTCTCTCTCTCTCCTTTTCTTGTTTTAAGACAGGGTCTCACTAAATTGGCCAGGGTGACAAGCATAATAAGAACAGGACAAGCAAAATAAGAACAGGTTGAGTGGGTAGGTTCATAGACATCTCTGTTGAATGGGTTGGTACAAATGCATCTTGGAAGGAGAAATTTTGTAGCTTAAGCATGCTGAGATGACAACCCTTTGCCATCCGGCCTCGCTGGTCCTTATCAGAAAGTCTCTTGCTATAGAGTAATCTTACAAGGTTTAGGGATCCGGAGTCAGGCTCAGACAGTCATCCATCAATGACTTTCTAGACAGTTCAGGATGCCAGGTCTCCTCTCAGTTCCAGAAATATGACTCAGGTTCTATTCTTCTGACCAGTAATGAAGCGTTCCAGCCTATTGCCTGGCAGGCTGTAGACTATAAGGGGAGGGGGGGGCAGTTCAGCCCCAAAGTTTTCCAAGCCTACTAATGTCTACTTAAAATACTCCTTGTTACTGCAGGGTATTCCAAGGCTATCCAAATGTCCTAAGACTCTCTCAAATATTTTTTTGGAAAAGTGGGGGGGGGGGGGGGGGGGGGAGAATGTTCTTCCTCGCTGGATTTGCCAACCTACATCCACTTTTGTTTTAAATTTTCTACACAGACTTACTTGGCAACGTTTGGGACAAACTATGCAATGCTATCACAATCAAGTTAAAGATTAATGTTAAAACCACAAACCCCAAATTTAACAATGCAAACAAGGACCTTCAGGAGTTCTCAGCGAATTCCTGATGGGGTTCGGTTTTCTTAAATGGCTTCTGAATCTGCACCAAATGACACAAACTTCCTAACAGAAAAGTGTTGGTGACTGGCACAATAAACGAACTTGCTTTCTGAGAAAGTGAATTTAAAACGTGGGTGCTCATCCCGCTCCCTCTGCTCTGGTTGCCAATGCAAATGAGTCAGAGGGCTTCTTGCTTCAGACACTGAACTAATTGTGTAACTAGCTCTGCAACGGAAAGTGCCATTGGAGAGTACATGCTGACCTCACAGCCGAAAAAAACTATTTAAAAGATGTGGAAACCAGATGTTTCAGCCGCATTCCAGCTGCTACTCTGAGAATTTCTCGTGGACAGCCCCGACACTGTAAACGGCTCTGCAACTGAAGATATGGTCGTCCTCATTTGCTTATGCGTCTTGCTGTGGGAAGAGGTTCATGGATGGGGATTCAAGAATGGAATCTTTCATAACTCCATATGGCTTGGTAAGAAACTTCACTTGCTGGCTTCGTGTTGGGAATGTCGGATCCTTTGACATCACAAAGGACTTAATCGAAGGAGTAAAATTTTCTAGCATGTTCAAGGCTGATGTTTTCACAGAAAATTCTTTAAAAAGAGAGATGCTGACTGACATGCCATTAAACAAAGGAAGTTTGCTTTTTAAACTAAAGGCTATTCTTTTACACCAAAAAACAGGGGTTAAGATGTGTTATTGTGAAAATATATGTTAAGATTTTCAAAGCAGACATGATAGCTCACTGGTGGGTATTCCTATATGAAACTAAGTGAACAGCACAATAGGATTTTGTTGTTGTTGTTGTTGTTATTATTATTATTATTATTATTATTATTATTATTATTTCAACTGCATTCACAGTAATGAGTTCAGGTAAGATGGGAGGGAGATGCAGAACTTCTACAACAGTTCTGAACTCCATGTAGGGTACATCTTAATTTTTCTAACCATCTTTTGACTGTCTTAAAAGACTAGAATGTAATGCAGGAAAAAAAATTTTAAAAATGCTTTGTACTTTTAATGTATTCCTCAGGCTTTGGTTCTTTTTGTCATGTAAGTACTTTCCTAGACCTTTGTTTAAATGAGGCAAGTTCTTTTTGTTGTCTTGTTAAATGTAAGGGATTACTTAGGCTAAACACTAAAGATGAACAATAGACCAATAAGTGACTATTAACACAGAGATGAACATTAACTCATTATTGTACTCAAAGCAATAATAGAATCCTTATGATTCAATTGAGGTTGTATTTTGTTCATTATTGTACTTAATAGAGAATTTTTTCTTTTGATTGTTTGGTAGGGGGTCATATTATTCTTGCACAGAATAAAGAAATAAAGAGAAAGCAAAATTAACCTAGATCTTAGTTTTATGCTTGCTAGGCAACACATGGTTGTAGTCTCTGTTCCCCTTTCAGTGGGGTTCTCTTTGGTAGTAATTGTAACCATGAGGACTTCATTAAAAAGCTGGATCTGAAAAGCACAGCCTTGCTGCCTCCTTTTCCAGCTCAAGCCAGTAACTAGTTGCAGTGTGACCATTTAGTCAAGATGGGCTCTGAAATTAATGTAGTCCACACAGTCCAACTGAGGAAATATATACACGTTTGTCAGAAATGGAGAAAACACCATAAAGCTAGGAAGAATTAAAATCATATGGGGATAGTTTGAAATGCTATCAAATTCTCCTGGGATTGAGTAATTTGAAGTCATTGTTTTTGTAATGAATGTGTATGAACAAAAATGTAAACAGGGATAAAAAGCAGTTCTGCCCCCAGCATTGGAGAGAAGCAAGCCAAACCTTTGTTAAGGGCACACACGGATCAGGAGTTTGAGACCCCATCAAATGCTTCGATCTGGAACAAACGACTGACCTGTCAGCCCAGCACAAATTGTTTACAGTTGGTTGGATCAATATAATATTAGTGCCTATTTAGGAAGAAAAGACAGTTGGATTTGAAGGGAGGGATCTGGTACCAACTGTGAAGAACAGGACATTTGAACTCTGTGACTTCTAATTTCTTAACGGCAACTTAACAAGAAAGCAACTAATAGACAAGAGATGTCACTCAGTCAACATGGATCTTGAACATTGAGAGAACAATTATTTTCATTCTTTGCACTGAGTCTGCCAAAGAGGGACAATTACATACCATAAGCTCCCAGTGGGGTGCATTAACTGTCGTTATTCCCATTTGCTAGATGAGGAAACTGAGGCCCAAGTTTCCTCATCTAGCTTACCTAACTGTCTACAAGCTTACCTAACTCCTCCCAGGAAAACTGGCAGAAACCAGAGCCTATAGTCCACTGTTGTCATTTGGCAATGGGAGAAAAAAAAATTCAGCTTTTTTTAATTAAGTGGCAGAGTAGGAATATTAACAAAATATTGTTTCTTTAGATACATGCATCTTCTAAATGTTAGAGTTTCCTTGTACTAAGTTTCATCTTAATAGCTTTAAATTCTAAACCCAGAAATATTTTAAGTAACAAATAACACTTTAAAACAACAATAGTCTTGATTTTGTACTTCCAGTACATGAGTGGTTAAGGTAGGAAGATTGAGAGTTCCAGGGTAGCACGGAATACAAAGCAAAAATTAGCCCCAAAACTAACTAAATAAATAAATAAAGTTAACAAATATACACTCAGACTGCTGTTTATAATCATCCCTAGGCAGGATCAAATGTACAGCACTCAAGAGGCAGGCAGATCTCTGTGAGTTTGAAGCCAACCTGATCTACATAGTGAGTTTCAGGCCAGCCTGATCTGGGAAATGACATTGTCTCAAAACAAACAAACAAACAAACAAACAAACAAACAAAGAATCCAAAGAAACTTCATGTAGAATTGTTCCTGAGAAAGAAGTTCTGTAATCACCAAGACTCAAGAGGCTGAAGCAGAACAATAGAGACTCCAAGGAAAGCATAGGCTACATAGTGAGACTTTCTCACAAACTATTCCATTAACTTCCTTAGTTAGTCAGTTACGTACATCAAGAATTCTCAGTGTGCTTGCTCATAAGGCAAAAACGGAATAGAAATATTTAACAAACTGAAATTATGGCACATGAAGTTTGTTGTTTCAGTTATAATAATCTTATTACCCAGACACATGTCACCAGTTTCCAATAGTTTTTTTTTTAATTACTGATAAGAAAATTTGAAATTATTTTCTAAAACTCTTTGCTAATCTCTCCCCAGAAATGTATTTCATGTTTGAAGTAAAATATTAAGGAAACCAGTTTGAGGAAGAGTTGGCATACATTAAAATAATTTGTATAATTTTTTCTAAGTTTTATTTTTAGCAATATTTACTATTTTATGTGCATTGGTGTTTTGCCGGCATGTATGTCCATGTGAGAGTGCCAGATAACCTGGAACTGGAGTTCCAGACAGTTGTAAGCTGCCATGTGGGTGCTGGGGATTGAACCCAGGACCTCTGGAAGAGCAGTCAGTGCTCTTAAACACTGAGCCATCTTTCCAGCCCCAATAACAATATTTATAATAAATTATTTAATTAAGCATTCATCCTTTTTCTATACCAAAAGGCATAGTGTCTAAGATAAAGATACTTAGTGTGGTGATACATACTTTAATTTTCTCACTTAAATGGCTGATACAGGCCAGCCTGGGCCATATACCAAGATCCTACGTAAAAAACAAAAAACAACTAACCAAATAAACAAACAAAACGGCTGAAGAGATGGCTCAGTGGTTAAGAATAGGATAAAAATAAAAAGAAAGGATAAAAATTCAATTCCTAAGACTCACCTGGCTGTTCAAACCATCTGTAACTCCAGTTCCAAAGGCTTCAATGCCCTCTTCTGAATCCTCAAACACTAGGCACACCTGTGGTACACAAATATACATGCACGAAAAAACACGTATAAACATAAATTTAGAATTTTTAAAAACTGATGAATATACTTTAGTTGCCCACCCATGCAAATCTTTGAGGGACAGGGCTTGTTCCACAACACTTAGGAAAATTCATCAATCTACATGCTTAAGAGAATAAAACTGGAAATTAATGAGTGTATTGAGGCTTTGCCACATGAAGGGCACCAGGGTAGCAGGTCATTTACAAGGCAAAAATCATCTCCACTGGTAATCATCTGATGTTGCTAATGTTTTCTGGTCCATAAGTGTGGGCTATAAACTCAGTTGGTAGAGTGCTTGCCTAGCATGAAAAAAAAAAAAAAACAAAAAACAAACAAACAAACAAAAACCCTGGTTAGATTCCCCAGTACCATGTAAAACCAAGAGTTACATGCTTGTAGGACCAGCACTCGGAGGGTAAGGTAGGAAGATTAGAACTGAAGGTCTTCCTCAGCTATATAGCTAATTAGAGGTCAGCCTGGGGCACAAGAGACCTTGCATCAAAATAGAAAAAAATGTCAAAATGACTGTTGTCTTCTCTAAGTGAAGGGCCTTTACCATATAATTTATGACAATGGGAATCTTTGGAGTCTAGGAAAATATGAAACAAAACCAGCATATTTTCCCTTCAAACTGTGGCAGAGTCAATTTTAGTTTGGGGAAGAGAAAAATGAGTTGAATCAGGACATGTTTCTGGATGTATGTCTCACAGTGTGCTGAGGCATCCAAGAATTCACTGGGAACATCTCCACAGTGGCTGATGTGGCAGATCAGTATACAAATATACTCAATAGTGATCTAGACAGTTGGGTGGTACTGCTAGCACTATTGGAGATAAACTTGTGACTATTGTCCTGGGAACTCTTCAAACTGTTTCTATGGAGACATCACTGCAGTACCCAAACAATTCATTGAAACAGTGACCTACTGGAAGACAGGGTGTGTGTGCCTTGCCATCTCCTAAAATATGCTGGAGACAACATGTGAACAAAAAAATAAAAAAAAAGCAGAGATGTGCCAATTTTTTTTCTTTGCTGTGTTCAAATCTCTTTTCTTTACTGTTCAACTTGCTTGTTGGGTGTTCCTTCAGATTTCCTCACTGTTTTGAAGTTCTTTACTAAATACTCAACTATATCATCTAGATCATCTCCTCAAATGGGCTTGTCTGCCTAATTTGTGAGCTTCCATATGAAGTCATTTTCCACTGGTTTATTTTGCTTTCTAAGCTTCCTTCCTTCATCTTTTTCCTTCATCTGCTTCCTTCATCTACCTTTCCAAGCTTTTAAGACTTAAAACCAGGGGCTGGAGAGATGGCTCAATGGTTAAGAGCACTGGCTGCTCTTACAGAGGATCAGAGTTCAATTCTCAGCACCCACATGGCAGCTTACAACTGTCTGTAACTCCAGTTGCAGGGGATATGACACCTTCACACCAATGCACATAAAATACATTTAAATGAATTATTTTTTTTGAAAAAGACATAAAGCCAAAAGAATACCAAAACTTTATTACTTGTGGTTAGTCTAGAAATATAATGTATTTTAAAAACTTCCTTTCACGATATCAGAAACAATCTAAACACCAGTCTTTATACGTCCTCTGTTCCCCCCAAAATTCCCCCTCATTCTTTTTCTCCCTGAAGTTTTCTCACAATAAAAAGTTAACTACCATGGCAGCTGACCTAGAAATTTCTTTGGCAAGAACATGTATCTGATGTAATCTTCCTACTGAGGCAAAATTTCCTTTGTTCTACAAGAATGGATAATAGTGCATTGATGCCATTTTGTAAATTCACAGAACAAGCAGCGGGTGTGTACCACCGAGAAGCTCGGGCTGGCAAATACAAGCTCACCTATGCAGAAGCCAAGACTGTATGTGAATTTGAAGGTGGCCGCCTCGCCACCTACAAGCAGCTAGAAGCAGCCAGAAAGATTGGTAACTAACTTGATAACAATTTTTCTTCTTATTCACCCTTGGTGAGGGGATTCTGCCCCTCCTATAACCCTTGTTAAGACTTTTCTCTCAAACCCTTTGGGATTGTTCTTTATGTTATGAGACTATCTTTGCTTTCTGGGAATTCCTTCATTCCTTCAGCCTAGAGTCAGAAGCTCCTAGTAACAGCATCTCATGGGGGGTTGGATAGCATCCAGTGAAAACTAAGAAAATAAAAGTCATGGCAGAGATACAGTGAGTTTGAGTAAGGAGCTGACAGGATACTACCCATCAGAATGAGCTTTGTGAGGAGAGGGAGCCTCCAGACAACATCAGGGGCTGCAGGGAGACATGACTGGGACTTGAACAGTGAGGGAACAGAAAGGAAAAAAGTGAGGTTTCAGACTTTTGTAGATTCCTCGGGGGACCCAGGACCCACTCATGTGATTTAGTCTGACTTAGTCCAGGTGACTCCTGGCACAGAAGTGAGTCACATACTAGACAGGACCACAAACTTACCTTGCAGCTGCAAAGGGAAGGTGTTACAAGGCCATAGCACAGCATGGCTCCTCAATTCTCTGTCCCCAAGATTTCTAAAGGGGGGAGGGTAGATAGAAGGTCTGCGATCTAAAAATAAGCAGCGAAGGAAAATAAAGACCCCCTTACCTTGTTCTCATTGAAACACTGTGTATTAATGTTCCTGTAATTGGTATTCACTTAAAATATCGTTCTATCTACCTTGACATGTGAATGTTGGTTTCCTTGGGTATTAAATTCTGCAATTTTCCAAATATTTACCCAGACGGGGTCTCTGTGACCACCACGGTCATTAGAATAACATTCCAAGGGATGAGAGATGGTAGTTCGTTTCAACATGACTCAGTAGCTGGTGTTGGTTCAAACTTTGGGAGTCTGACCCTGAGTGGTTTATTCTAGGCATATTTAAACACAACACAGCTGGTGATAATTAACCCATGTGCACAACAAAGCTTAAGATGTGATGACATGGAAACTCTGTAAAGTACATATGATATCTTCCATAAAAATGGGTCTATAGATTGACTACATGTGGCACCTTCCATAAAGATAGAGTCTATAGATTGACAAGGGTCACAGAAAGGGTCTGGAGAAGGATCCACTGTGGTCTCAGCCACATAGATAGCACCAAGGTCTCTAGGCTTCTCACTTCCGTTCCCAGACTTCCTGGCAGAAAGCAGGTTGTACATCTTTCTCTCTTTGAAGAAACAACCCTGTGTGTTTAACATTCCTGGTTCCTCTAGGAATTTATCTGTGAGCACAAGGACCTCAACGCCTTCCATGGTAGTAAAAATATTATAATTTAAGGAACTTCTTTCTTAGTTTTTTGTTTTGTTTTGTTTTCTGTTTTCAAGATAAGAGTATCACTATATAGTCCATGCTGGCCTCAAACTTGTAATCTTCCCAGTGGGATTATAGGTATGTACCACCATGCCCAGGCGTTTGTAAAAATACGTTTTGACAGGAAGAGAATGTATCTGTACTACTGTACCACAGTATTAAAAACTGTGAGGCAGTGATGGAGCACTCGGGAGGCAGAGGCAGGTAGATCTCTATGAGTTCGAGGCCAGCCTGGTCTACAGAGCGAGTTCCAGGACAACCTCCAAAGTCACAGAGAAACCCTGTCTCGAAAAAACAAAAAAAGAAAAAACAAAAACAAACAAAAAAATCCAACAACAATATATATATTAGAATATATTAGACACAGGTTAATTATGACCGGTTGTGCTGTGCTTAAAATTTCCCTATAATGGTAGGGGAAAAACAACTTGGAAGATGATGCCAAGAGGCCTCCTGAAAACTCCAGCAATTAACTGCTACTGTTATTTGGGTGTTTGGTCAGTTGTTTGGTTTTTGTTTGTTTTGTTTTGTTTTTGTGAGTTTTGTTTGTTTGCTTTGAGACAGAATCCCACATAACCCACATTGGTCTCCATGCGTAACTGAGGCTGATATTGAGCTAATCCTTCCTCATCCTCCCAAATTTATGTCTCACTATATAGCTCCCAGAGTGAAACTTGCTTGTAGACCAGGCTAGCCTTGAACTCACAGTTATCCCATCTATCTCTGCCTCCCAAGTGATGGGATTAAAGATGTGTAGCACTATGCCTGGGTGCTACTATTTGCTTCTTTTACAAGAAAGCTGGCTACCCTCTCCTTTGAGTCTCCCCTTCAGAACTCTCTTCCTTATAGGCAAATACCTGACAAAGCCCATGCTATTATTATACTTTATCCAAGACAAACACATAGCTGTAAGTTATCCCACAGCATTAGTAAGGGATTCTTTCCAAGATCACTACTGACAATCAGAATCCAAGGATGCTCAAGTCCTATGGATCAAACCCAGGACCAGACCCTGTTGCTCAGTCTCAGGCATGCCACCACCAACCTACACCCACAACTCCTTTTTGTTTTAGTTGATTGTTTGCTTGATTGGTTTTTATTAGTGGTTTTTTTAATTTTTTTTTTTGAGACAAAGTCTTGCAGGTCTCAAATTTGTGATCCTCCTGAGTATTGATATTAAAGATACAAATACCCTCTGTATTTTAAATCAGAGATTACTTAGAATATCTACCATAATGTAAGCACTGTATAAAGATAGTTCTGGGACTAGAGAGATGGCTCAGAGGTTAAGAGCACTGGCTGCTGCTCTTCCAGAGGACCCAGGTTCAATTCCCAGCACCCATATGGCAGCTCATAACTATCTGCAATTCTGGATTCAGGGGATCTGACACCTTTATACCAAGGCCAAGAAAATGAAGCTAAATAAGTTGGTTTGTTTTTTTTAAAGATAGTTCTGAAGAAATAACTACAAGAAAAATGTTTGCACATGTTTAAATGGACTTCTCTGGCAGGGCTTAATTTAGGGCATCATGCATGTGAAGCAAGTGCTCTGTCACTGAACTGCACCATCTCAGATGCAGAACTGTAAGGAGGCAATTTTGATTCCCGGTTAGTTGAATTCACAGACGGATGGCTACAGGTTTTTAATCAAATGTGCACTCAGTTTCCTCAGACAACTGCTCAAGGATCTGAAATCAGGTGGTTCTCATACTCACCATGGAACTTAATCTTACTCTCCCTGCATTTGTTTCTGTTTTCAAATAGGCCCACTAGCTAGTACAAGACAGAATTCAAATTTCATAGACAGGCATGGTGAGGCTGTAATCCTATATAGTACTTCAGAGGTGAAGGCAGGAGCATTAGACATTCTGGGTCAGCCTTAGCTAAATAGTTTGAGGCCAGCCTGGGGTATATGAGATCCTGTCTTAAGGAAAAACATAAAAGTAAGTGGATTGTAGTGGTGCATGACTTTAATCTCAGCACCCAGGGAGCAGAAGCAGGGGGATCTCTGTGAGTTCAAGGCCAGCCTGGTCTACAAAGTGAGTTCCAGGACAGCCAGGCCTGTTGCACAGAGAAATCCTGTCTCAAAAAAAAAAAAATGAGAGAAGAAAAAAAGGTATGATTTATTTGTATTCAAACTTTGGTTTGGTTTGGTGTTTTGTTTTGTTTGCAGCACTAGGTATTTAACTTAAGGCCCAATGCTTGGTGCTTATTCTATGTAGCTAGTCTGGCCTTGAACTGATCCTTCTGCTCAGTCTCCAGAGCTACAATCAAGGGGTTTCTCATTCTATACAAAGTGGGTTTGGCCACTTGAGAAACTTACAGTAGGAAGTGGTTGCCTCCTCCTACCAGGTTGGGGACATTTTTTGAGTGAATCCACAAGCTTCTCTCCCTCTTTCAGGATTTCATGTCTGTGCTGCTGGATGGATGGCCAAGGGAAGAGTTGGATACCCCATAGTGAAACCCGGGCCCAACTGTGGATTTGGGAAAACTGGTATTATCGATTACGGAATCCGGCTCAACAGGAGTGAGCGATGGGATGCCTATTGCTACAACCCACATGGTTAGCTCTTCAAAATGATAATTCTGTATTTGCAAAAATAGTTACACAAACAACAGCAAAGCAGTTACCTACCAAGAGATTACTAAAAGGAAACAGCTTTTCTGTCTAAAAATGAGTGAATGTGGTGACCGTGATGATGATAAAATTATGCCTACCATTCATAGGTCCTTCCTTGCTCTTCAGGGCATTGCATTGTGTTCCGTCATTCACACTAAAGGAGAGGTAATCTTTGTTCATGCTCTTAGAGAAAAAAGCAGACTCTTCTTGTCAGACCTATTCTCCCAGACAACACAATGAAGTGTTATTTATTATGTTACACAGTCTTTCTGGCATTTGCTAACACACTACTGTGATGAAGTATTGAATCTACCGTATGTGGAATTCCATATCACAGTAGAAGAGTGATAGCAATATGCTAGGCTCCTGTCACAGCACTGTTTAATGGTCCTGACCATCAGAGAACAGTCTTGTGTGTCCATGAGCAACTTATAGCTCCAAATGAAGTGGATTCCAAGTTGAAAGAATTTTGCTTAGAGCTGGATACTACACTCATTCGAAACAAGTAGGGGCATTTATCACAACACTTCGATCCACAAATCACTTAGGTTCCTTGGTTTGTTTGTTTGGGCATTGTTTTGTTACTGCAGTTGCTGTTTTGAGGGTTTTGTTTGTTTGTTTTGTTTCCTTTTTTTTTTTTTTGTCTTTGTTACTTTAGATAGGGTTTCATTGTTTGTCCCTGGCTGTCCTGAAACTCACTATGTAGACCCAAATCAATTTGTACATACTGTACATACTTTAAGTTTCAGTCCCAACCTGTGCTATACTACTGTATATTTAGTCATTGTTAACAATCATTGCCAGACTCTAGAGTAAAACCAAGAATGGTGGTGAATGGCTTTAATCTCAGCTGTCAGGAGGAAGGCAGAAGCAGGCAGATCTCTGGAAGTTTGAGGCCAGCCTGGACTACATAGTGAGTTCCAGGCCAGCCAAAGCTATATAGTGAGACCCTGCATCAAAAAAAGAGATGGTTGTAAGCTACCATGTGGTTGTTGGGACTTGAACCCAGGGATGCTGGAAGAACAGCCAGTGCTCTTAACCTCTGAGCCATCTCTCCAGTCTCAAATGTTTTGGTTTCTAAGGCAGAGTTTCACTGTGCAGCAAAGAATAGCCTTGAACACCACCTCCCCTTTCTCAACAGGGTCTCACCCTGGCTGGCCTTAAACTGACTATGTAGACTAGGCTGGCCTCCAATTCAGAGATTTGCCTACCTCTGCTTCCAGAATGCACCACTATCGACAATACTTATGAATCTTGTCTTCACCAATTAGAATCCTAGTCAGGCCTGGTGGCACTTGGAAGGAGGATCAGGGTTCAAGGCCCATGTAGCAAGTTCAAGGCCATCTTGGGCTTTATGACTGGACTACATAGTGAGTTCCATGTCTTTAACATGGTTCCTTGTCTTTAACAGACATGTAACCGTATTAGTAGCTACTTATTGAGTATATCCTTGTGTGACCTTCGACACTCGCTGAATCCTAGCACTCCATGGACTGAGGCAGGAAAATCAGGAATTTGATGCTAACCTGGGCTACAAATAGAATTTCCATTTTTTAATAAAAATAGTATTTTTAGAAAAGTTTTCAAGCTAGAAAGATAACACAGTCAATGAAGTACTTGCTTTGTAAGCACGAGGAACTGAATTCAATATCCAGAATGAATTTTCTGTTGTTGGTGATAATCATGTTCTTTGTTTTTTTTTTGAGACAGTGTCTTTTTATGTAGCCCCGACTTACCCGGAATTCCCTATGTAGAACAGGCTGGCCTCAAATACACAGAGATCTGCCTCTTAGGTACTGAGATTAAAGCCCAGAACTCATGTTTAAAAAATAAATGGAGAAACAAATTAAAAACACCCAGTCATGGCTACACACACTTATAATCCCAGTACTGGGGAGGCAGGGACAGGAGGACCCTGGGGCTTGATGGCCATCCAGCATAGCCTACTTGTTGAATTCCAGGGTAATGATAGACCCTGTCTTTAAAAAAAAAAAGTAGATAGTTCCTGAGAACAATACCCAAAATTATCTTCTAGTCTTACACACACACATTCACTAGCACACACACACACACACACACACACACACACACACACACACAAATGCACACACACACACACACACACTCCCCATCAAATGATACCCAGAGTGATCGCCTCCACCAAATAGGCTAGGTTTTTTGTTTTTTGGGTATTTTTTGTTTTATTTTTCGAGATAAGAATTTCTATGTGTATCGCTGACTGTCCTGGAACTCACTTTGTAGACTAGGCTGGCCTCAAACTCACAAAGTTCTGCCTGCCTGCCTCTGGAATGCTGGGGCTAAAAGCTTGTGCCACCACACCCAGTAATTTTAGCTTCCACATTCTACCACCTCTAGACAGACCTTAACTCACAGAGAATTTAAAATTGCCCAACCTCTTCCATAGTTTTCTCTCTAGGTCATGTTGTAAATCATCAATCCTGACTTTCTTTGGGTTTAGTTTTTGTTTTTTATTTGTTTTTCTTAACATGGGTTATATGACATACTGCAGTTTAAGAAACAAATGATAGAAACAAACAAGAATCTGCCACCAAATCCTGAATTCTACTGTTCTAGAAAGTACAGACTTGGTGCTGCAGTATCTCTTAGTAGTATGACCTGTGCTTAGCTCTTGTTAGGTTTGGCTTAAAGCTTCAGTATCCAAAAGAGCAAGGGAAAAGCAAATGTGGCATAGCACACCAATAATCCATCCTAGTAAAAGAGATGGACATAGGGAAGACTGTCACAAATTCAAGGCTGTCCTAATCTTCCTTGGTAAGTTCCAAGCCAGTCTGGGGACTCTGTCTCAAAAGGAGAGAGAGAAAGAGGAGGCATAGATTACAAATTATTTTAATTAGATTAAAGTGACTTTTTTTTATTTCAAGACATGTTTCTCTCTGTAGCCCTGGCTGTCCTAGAACTCACTCTGTAGACCAGGCTGGCCTTGAACTCACAGAGATCATCCTGCCTCTGCCTCCAGAGTGCTGGGATTAAAGGTGTGCACCACCACTCAGTTAATGTGACTTTTATAAAAAGATCTTGCAAATAGAATTTACAAGATCTATTGGTATAAGTGAGTGGCTGAAGGCAACAGTCTGGCAACTACTGGATAAAATCCCCATCATCTTGATTAGACCATTGGTAGCATGAATATGTATTTGGCAAAATACACCAAAGTATTTATAAAAGGTTTGTACATTTTATGCCTTAAAAAATTGAAGCAAGGAAAAATGCAAAAAAAAAAAAAACCAAAAAAACAAATGTTGTTATTTTCACATTTAAAAATTCACAAGTAGTCCATGTTCAAATTTTAGAAAATTTAGGAATTGGACCTGTAGGATGGCACAATGTGTAAAGGACTTTGTCACCAAGCCTAATGACCTGAGAGTTTAACCATCACTGTGACTCCTGGCAGAAGGAGATTGAATCCTGAAGGTAGTACACACATGCACACACACACACACACACACACACACACACACACTAAAATTTTCAAGTTTAAGGCTGGAGAGATGGCTCAGCGGTTAAGAAAACTAACTGTTCTTCCAGAGGTCTTGAGTTCAATTCCCAGCAACCACAAGGTGGCCCACAACCATCTTGAATGAGATCTGATGCCCTCAGTTGACATGAAGGCAGAAGACTGTATACATAATAAATAAAATCTTTAAAACAATTTTTTTCAAGTTTAAAGAAAATTTAGAAACTACTATTAGCTGTAAGCATATACAATGTACTATGGATAATATAGTTCTTTAGTATTTTATATAAAAATAATAAATAATGTCTAAGTAAACTTTCCTTTCCTATTTCAGCAAAGGAGTGTGGTGGTGTCTTTACAGATCCAAAGCGAATTTTTAAGTCTCCAGGCTTCCCAAATGAGTATGACGATAACCAGGTCTGCTACTGGCACATTCGGCTCAAGTACGGTCAGCGAATTCATCTGAGCTTTTTGGACTTTGACCTTGAACACGACCCAGGCTGCCTGGCCGACTATGTAGAAATATATGACAGCTATGATGACGTCCATGGCTTTGTAGGAAGGTGGGTAATGCTTCCCACACAGGATCATCAGGGGATTTACAGTGTTTATCTCATGCTTCTTTGGTTTTCTCTCCGTTGTTCCTACAATATTGTTGATACTCAAAATTTCTACTATCTCCATCAGAATTTCTACTCTCTCCATCAGAATTTCTACTCTCTCCATCAGAATTTCTACTCTCTCCACTAGAATTTCTACTCTCTCCAACAGAAACTGTTGCTTTTTTCCCCTCTTCCTCTTCTTCCTTGTCTTCTTCCTTTCAAGCCTACTTTTTTTTTCTTTGTTTGTTTTTGTTTTGTTCTCTGTGTAGCCCTGGCTGTCCTGGGACTAGCTCTGTAGACTATGCTGGCCTCAAACTCACAGAGATCCATCTGCCTCTGCCTCCCAAATACTGAGATTAAAATTGTGTGCCACCACAGCAGGGCTCTGCATTGCAGGCTGGCCTTGAACTCATTTTGTAGTTTAGACAAGCCTTGAACTCCTGATTACCCTGCCTCTACCTCCAAAGCATTGGATTATAGGCATGTTTATAACCTCTGGCTTTCATATAATTTACCAACAAAGATTTTACTTAATTGGCTGTACCTATACTAATTACAAAAGCAGTGAAGCTGCCTTTGATTGTTGATTTATAAAACCTCATTGTCTAGTCAAAACCTCACATGACTAAAGACACAGGAAATGAATTTTCCATTAAAATGGTCAAGTCAGTCTCTTCTACTCTCACTCTCACCTTGTGCACAAAGTGATTTTTCTGTAGCCCACGCTAGCCTCAAACTCACTATGTATGGAAGAATGACTTTGAACCTGGTTCTTGTGCTCCACCTTCCAGTCTGTGACACCCTGCCTGGTTTATTAGATGCTGGGGGTGGAACCCAAGACCTTGGATATTCAAAGCAACCACTCTACCATCTGAAATACACTCCCACCCTACTTCTTTTATTTTTCAACATGGTGGGACATAATCTTTTTGTGTTCCCAATCCAATTTAGGCAGGAGGGAAAGTGGAGATCTTGCTCTGTAGAGGGTCAAATGAAAGTGGTAATAATCTGATTTGCTACTGGCATAGTAGGCTCAATGTTGTCTGTGTATTCATCTGAGAGTTTGGGGTTTTGACCTTGAAGATGATCCAGATTTCTTGGATAACATTGAACTCATAGAAATCTTCCTGCCTCAGCCTCTTGAGTGCTGGGATTTGGGGCATGATCCAAGATGCCCAGTGGGTTTTTGTTTGGTTGTTTTGGATTTTTGTTTGTTTTGGTTTTGTTGTTTATTTGCTTTGTTTTGTTTTGGTTCAGTTTGGTTTTTCTTTTTTTTTTTCTTTTTTTTTTCCCTTATTTGCTTTGTTTTGTTTTGGTTCAGTTTGGTTTTTCTTTTTTTTTTTTTTCTTTTTTTTTTCGAGACAAAGTTTCCCTGTGTAGCTTTGGAGCCTATCCTGGCACTCACTCTGGAGACCAGGTTGGCCTCGAACTCACAGAGATCCACCTGCCTCTGCCTCCCGAGTGCTGGGATTAAAGGTGTACGCCACCAATGCCCGGTTCAGTTCTTTGTGTAGATCTGGCTGTCCTGGAACTATACAAGGCTGGCCTAGAACTCATTGAGATACACCTGTCTCTGCCTGCTGAATGCTGGGATTAAAGACATGCACCACCATTGCCTGGAAAATGCCTCATGTTAATCCCGAGATTTGCTGGAGAAAAATCAATTCTAGCATTTTGGGCCAATTTTGAAATAAGCTTTACTAAAATATAAAATACTGACCAAGATGGACTTTTGTCAGCACCACTCCTGGAAATACCCCAGCTGAGGGGCCCCTAGACACATTTTTTAAAATTTATTTTTCTTTAAATTAGAAACAAGGCTGGGTGTTGGTGGCCCAGACCTTTAATCCCAGCACTCAAGAGGCAGAGGCAGTTGGATCTCTGTGAGTTTGAGGCCAGCCTGGTCTCCAGAGCGAGTGCCAGGATAGGCTCCAAAGCTACACAAAGAAACCCTGTCTTGAAAAAACAAAAATAAGCAAAAGATAGATAGATAGATAGATAGATAGATAGATAGTTAGATAGATAAATACATTAGAAACAAGCCTGATTCACATGTCTCCCTCTCCCTCCTCTCCTCCACTGCCCCCCCATTTTTTATGTCTTATTATTTATTGTATTTATATGTGTAATTTTCCGTTATAGTATACTCATCCTTTCTCTGGAATTATTGTAGCTTTAGAAAGCTATAAAACCCTGTGTATTTTTAAATAATTCATAAAGGAATTATTTCAAGTCGTGAGTCAGAAGAAAAACAGACTCTTATACCAATATGGTCTACACTTAGATATTTCATACCTGTACTTTCCTGCATTTTAATTAGTTTATCCTATAGCTTGTAATAATACCATCAACTAAACATCCACACAGCCTATCACTACCAAAATGCTGTGAGTAAAGGCTGGGACCAAGAACACAGGCAAGTATTCTATCACTGACTCCATGCCTATTCCTCATAAAATTCACAGCATTAAGAAGAGTATCTGAGGGATGGGGGGTGAGGGGAGGGAGAGGGTAAAAAAAAATTTTTGCCCAAATTTTAAAAAAAAAAAAAAAAAAAAAAAAAAAAAAAAAAAAAAAAAGAGTGGTGGTGGTGGCGCCATCTGAGTCCCAGTGCTCAGATGGTGCTCAGATGGTGGAGGCAGGCGGATCTCTGTGAGTTCAAGGCCAGACTGGTCTACAGAGTGAGTTCCAGGACAGGCTCCAAAGCTACAGAAAAACTCTGACTCAGAAAATAAAATAAAATAAAAAACTGTGAGACTAGGTGTTATGGTGCACACTATAAGTATACTACTCAAGAGGCAAAGGCAGACAGATCTCTGTGAGTTCAATGCCTGTCTGGTCTATGTAGTAAATTCCAGAGTATCAGGATTATGTGAACCTGTCTCAGGGAGAAAAAAGAAAGAAAAAAAGAAAGATTCTGAGATTAACTAAAACTACATTTCTTTCCATCTTTACAAATCCAAGTTAAAAACAAAACAAAACAAAACAAACAAACAAAAACAACTTATTCCAGCATTGGAAGGCAGAGGAAAACAGTCCTCTGTGAGTTCTAGGCCAGCCCAGCCTTATCTACATATTAAGTTCCAGGACAGCCAGGGCTATATAAATGAGACCCTATCTCAAAAAAAAAAAAAAAAAAAAATTTTTTTTGATTTGAGAAAATTGAGCCACTATTGTGGGGAATAAAATATTTTGTCATAAATAAGAGTTACATCAATAGTTGTGTGCTTCTTTTGTGTGTGAACTCTTACTTCTAAAAATTCTCTTTCAGATACTGTGGTGATGAACTTCCAGAAGACATCATTAGCACAGGTAAGTCCCAAATTACAGCAAAACATAAATTGGCTTTTTCATAGCGCCCTCAAAGTCATTATCATTCACCCTTTAAAACAGAGAACTAAGAATGGTATGTTAGCTTGTGACAATGCCAGTTTCTATTCTTAAGATTTTGGCAAGCTCTGTAATCAAAATGGTCTGTGTGGACAGTTTTCATTGGCAGGCATCAGCTCGAATCCACAAGTCCCTAAGAACTGCTGTTGGCATCCCCAGGAGTTTGGAGTGGTAATAAATGAGTGGGGACTGGCACTGTCTCCATAGTAGAGCGTTCACTTTGCACATGCAGTGGCCCTAGATTTGCTTCCCAGCACAGCAAATAACAACAACAATAATAATAATATTGTTGGTTGTGAGCCTAGCCTTTAAGGGCTGAGCCATCTCTCCAGCCCAACAACAACAATAATAATGATAGTAGCTGGAAATAGCCATTGATAAAACACTGAAGTGAATTGTCGAGTAGTTAAACACAGCATCCATCATAGTAAACAACTGCATCATTGTATCACATTTGTATTACAACATTCCTTGCAGGGCCTTGTGATACTCTCAGCAGCCATTGCATAAGAAAAGGGAAGTGCTGGGCTACACAGAGATAAAAAGGTTTCTTGATTGGCAGCCACAGGAAACTTTTAGTATGCTAATTTATGTAGTGAATCTCAAAAGGCTAGCTTATAATAGGCAATGCCTACTAAATCACACAGGCATACACACCCAGAGTTATTTTGTATGCTTATGTTCTAAGAAGTAATGCCCTTTTAAAGATGTCCCTTAGTAACAAAATTTGATCACAATAGGCAACACTACTCTGGAAGTTATCCTAAACTGCTTTTGAATTTTTTTTTTTTTTTTTTTTTTTTTAGCAAAATCCTTTGTTTTCTCGGAAGTCTGTTTTCTTTCTCTTCCCACTGACAGTTCTTGGCATTCTGATAGGTTGTTTTCTCTCCAAGTCATAAAATTATCACAATGCTTTGCACCTAAGAACAGCAGCGCTCCAAAGAGGGCAAGCAGCTTTAAGTCCTTTTTAACAGCCTCCACACCCTGCCTGCAGCACTCTTGGTTCTGAGGTGTCATTTTTATAAGCTGTGAAGCATTCTACTCTCTCCTTCAATGATTACTGTTTAAACTTTATGTATTACTATTACATTCTTTCCAAGAAGGGAAACCCACTATAAACCTCTTATTTTTCTAATCTCAAGGACATATTTTATGGTAACAGAAGATTTGAACAAGTGTGGCTTTAGAGCTTTACAAGGTTGGCTTTTGAGCTTTGGGGCATAAAAACTTCTCAAAAAACCAACAGCGGTGCTGGGTATGGAGGCAGAGGCAGGAGGATCACCCAGGAACTTTTTAATTACTTTATTTAGTTTTATTTAATTTGCATTGGTATTTTGCCTTCATATATGTCTGTGTGAGGGTTAGAGGTAGATCTTAGAGACATTTGTTAGCTGCCATGTGGGTGCTGGGAATTGAACTGGTGTCCTCTGGAAAAGCAGTAAGTGCTCTTAACCACTGAGCCATCTCCACAGCCCCATATACTTGTTTTTTAATTGAATTATGGGTTGAGGATTGAAGTTAAGAATGGCTTCCTGGGCTCCCAAGATAGCTCAAAGGTTAAGAGCTTTTGTTCTTCCAGAGGTCCCAGCATTCACATAGTGGCTCATAAGCAGCTGTAACTCCAATTCCAGAGGTTCTGACGCCCTCCTCTGACTCTTCTTTGGAGTGCACCAGGCATTAGTGTGATGCACACATATACAAACATGCAGACAAATACTTAAAATGGCATAAGTAAATATAAAAATAAAATAAAAAACTTTTAAAGATGGCTCAGCAGATAAAAGTGGGAGGAAAGAATTACCTCCACAAATTTGTCCTCTGACCTCGCATGCATCCCATGGCAAGTTCTCACACAGACAAGCATCAATAACACAAGTGATAGTAATAATTAATGTTTTATTAAATCTTTCCCCCTGAAATATCCCTGCATGTTATTTGAACATTTTCTGGTACACATGTTAAGTCCACATTTTAAGTCCAGTCTAAAAAGTAGGCATCTAGGTTTATTTCTTAGCTTTCTTTTTTCTTTTGTTTTCTATTAGTTGATGATTGGTTTTATTTTATTTTTTGAGACAGAATCTCTCTCACTATGTGTCCCTATCTGGCCTGCAAACCATTATGTGGACCAGGCTAAGCCTTGAACTAACAGTCTGGTGAAGGCATGTGCCACCACACCCAGCCCTAACTTTGTGCCTTAATAATGTAAGGCTTATTGTTCCCCATCAGTTATAGTTATAGCCCATCCACACATCATGAGCTTGAACTACTGTCATGCTCTTATAGATCTGTGGATCGGTCCATAAGGAGAACTTTTTTCCCCTTGTGGTGCTAGGGATCAAATCCAGAGCCTCAACATGCTAAGTAGGCACCCTATTTTAAAATTATGTTTATTGATTGATTGATTTGCATTTCATTCAAGGGGCATAATAGTGCAGGCACACTGAGCCCTGGAGAGTTTTCTAAAATAGAAAAGACATTTCTCACGTGAGATTAGAGTCCTGGAGTTAAATATAAAAGTCCTTCACTAGGCACTGGTGTCACAGACCTTTAATCCCAGCACTCAGGAGACAGAGGAAGGCAAATCCCTGAGTTCTGAGGCCAGCCTGGTCTACAGAGTGAGTTCCAGGACAACCAGGAACATTGAGAATCTGTCTGAAAAACCAAGTTTCTCAGTAGCTCCACTGGGAGTGACAACCACAGACTATAAAACTTGAGAATGTACATCTGGACTCTGGAGTCTTATTCATGTCTTTATGTATTCTTTTGTGAGATGGTAAGTCATTGAATCGTCAGACAAATCAAACTGGAGTAACCTCTTTGTTCTTATGTGTGCCCCTCCCCCCAGGAAATGTCATGACCTTGAAGTTTCTGAGTGATGCATCCGTCACAGCTGGAGGTTTCCAGATTAAATACGTCACAGTGGATCCTGCATCCAAATCCAACCAAACCAAAAATACAATTACTACTGGAAATAAAAAACTCTTAGCTGGAAGATACAGCCATCTATAAACATTTTTAAAGAAATGTTCAAAACATACAGTATTTATGTTTGTAGCTTGTGGAACTCCTTTGTTCTCACTTTTGTATTTTATTATTAACATGTATTTATTATTTTTCCAAATGTGAAAGCAATATGTAAATGTAGGAAAAGTTGAAAAATACTGAAAACTTCAAATGAGTAAAAAAAAATTTCATAATTCTACTCCATAGAAATAATTGGTGTTTAAGATTTTTCAGTGTTTGTCTTCCATTTGTTTTTCTACTTGTAGTATATGTATATTTGTGATTATATGTATTTGTATTTGAGTTTTGGCATTCTTGCATTATGTATAGTTTTGTAATGTTAACATTTACAGCTTGAACAATTCCTAAGATCACTGAATTTTCTACAAAATGGGACTTTGAGCAGCTGTAAATATCTCCTAGTACGATCGTTTCCTGCTTTATTCATAAATATTGCTGTAATAAATAATCTTGGACACAAATATCTTGCAGGTCTTTAGTTTTATGGGGACATAGGCCTAGATGTAGAAATACGAATCAGAAGCTAATTAAAATAGACTCTTTTTTAAAGTTTTTAATGGGGGGGTGTGCGCATGCGCACTCTCGTACACCATATGCACACAGGAGCCTGTGGAAGTCAGAAAAGGATATCAGATCCCCTGGAACTAGACTTATAGTCGTGAGCTGCCATGTGGGTTCCGGGACCTGAACACAGATCCTCCGGAAATGCAACAAGTGTTTTTTAACCACTGAGCCATCTCTCCAGACACAGAACTTTTCTTCTTTGCTTAGAAAAAACAAAGACACAACAGTGTAGTCTGGTTGGTAATTTGGCTTTTAGCTCTCTCTGGATTCATTTCAGGGTCAGACAAATAGTGTAAGTGTTCAGGCATTACACTGGCATGCCCCTGTCACTTGGCAAAATGCACTCAGGCAGTACCTTGGTCAGCCCAGAGTTCCATGGTTGCTTAGTCTACACGCAGGTGCAAAGGACCCCTTTAAAAGAAAGGCCCCTTCCCATTTATGCTCTCTTTCCCTCTCTCTTTCCCGCTGACCCCATGGGGCAGACAGCACTTTTCCTGTCTCCCTCTTCTCTTCTGTCCTCTCTGTGTGTCTCTGTGTCTCTTTACCTCTTTTCTATTTCCTTCCCCCTCCCCTCCCCTTTTAAATAAAACTTCTCACTTAAGCTCCGTCTGCCTGGCACGCTTGTATCAAGTGTCTTGTGTCGTGTTGTGTCTGTCACCCCCTCTTCCCCACCCTGGCCTGCCATGGAATCTGCCAAGGTTACCCTCCTGCTTTATCTTAACAGTCAGCCCAGTGGCTCATGTGGCCTGTTCTGCTGGGCCTCCTGTGAGTCTTAGTCACACTGTGAGATTAGATGTTCTGGCGTGGAGAGGTGGTTCAGAAGTTAAAGGCACATACTCCTCTTGCAGGGGACCCAAGTGCAGTTCCCAGCATCTGTGTCAGATGGGTCATAATCACTCTGTAACTACAGTTACAGGGTATCCAGTGCTTCTATACGTACCCACACTTATGTGTATGTATCTATGTATAGACACATATGTTATTTAAAACAATAAATATTTTAAAAAGTGATTAGGAGCTGGAAATATGGTTCAACAGTCAAGAACACTGGCTGCTCTTCCGGAGAACTTGGGTTCAATTCCCTGCAACCAGACCGGATGTTCTCAAAAATCTGCAACTCCAGTCTCAAAGGGTGTGATGTCCTCCTCTGGCCTCTGATGCCACCAGGCACACATGGTTCACAGACACCTGCAGGGATAAAAATAAACAACACATAAACAAAACAGAAACTGGGCATGGTGGTGCACGTCTTGACCAAAGAAAACCTTAAGTCCAACAAATCCCTAACACAAAATATCCAGGAAATATGGGACACCGTGAAAAGGCCAAACCTAAGAATAATAGGTATAGAAAAAGGTGAAGAAACCCAACTCAAAGGTGCAGAAAACACATTCAACAAAATCATAGAAGAAAACTTTCCCAACCTAAAGAAAAACATGCCAATGAAAGCACAAGAAGCCTACAGAACACCAAATAGAGTTGACCACAAAAAAGTCCCCTCATCCCATAATAATCAAAACACCAAACATAACAAAATAAAGAAAGAATATTAAGAGCAGCAAAAGAAAAAGGCCAGGTAACATATAAAGGCAAACTTATTAGAAATACACCTGACTTCTCCATGGACACTCTGAAAGCCAAAAGGTCCTGAATATTCTACAAACACAAAGAGACCGAAGATGCCAGGCCAGACTACTATACCCAACCAAGCTTTCAATCACTATAGATGGAGAAGACAGATATTCCATGACAAAACCAGATTTAAACAATTCATATCCAGCCTAATCCAGCCAGACAAAAAGCACTGGAAGGAAAACTCTAACCTAAGGAAGTTAACTATACCCACAAAAACATAGGCAATAGATAATTCCACTTTACAAAAAAGCCAAAAGGAAACTTGGGGTAAATACACACACAATAGCACCACCAACAACAAATCCAAGACAAACAAGAATTAACATTCAATAGTTCGATATTAATTTCTCTCAATATTAATGATCTTAACCTGCCCATAAAAAGACACAAGCTAACAGAATGGATATGAAGACAGAATCCATCTTTCTGCTGTATACAAGAAACACACCTCAACTTCAAAGACAGACCTTGCCTCAGAATTAAGGGTTGGGATAAGATTTTCCAATCAAATGGACACAAGAAAAAAGCTGGTGTAGCTATCCTAATATGTAACAAGTTAGACTTCAAGCTAAAATCAATCAAAAGAGACTAAGAAAATCAATTTATATTTATCATAGGAAAAATCCATCAGGAAAAAGTCTCAATTCTGAACATCTATGCCCCAAATACAAAGGCACCCTCATTCATAAAAGAAACATTACTAAAACTCAGATCACACATAAGACTTCACAGTTATAGTGGGAAACTTCAACAACCCACTCTCACCACTAGACAGGACCACCAGACAGAAACTTAACAAAGAAACAAAGGAACTAATAGAAGTTATGGCCCAATTGGGCTTAACAGACATCTATAGAACATTCCATCCAGTGCCACATGGAAACTTCTATAAAATCGACCACATACTCTGCAACATAGCAAACCTCAACAGGTACAAAAAAATTGGAATAACCCCCTGTATCTTATCAGTCCACCATGCTTTAAAGTTAGAATTCAACAACAACACAAATTGCAGAAACCCTACAAACTCATGGAAATTGAACAATGCCCAATTGCACCATTCCTGGATCAAGGAAGAAATAAAAAAAGAAATTAAAGACTTCTGAGAATTCAGTGAAAATGAAGACACAACATACCCAAACTTATGGGACACTTTAAAAGCAGTGCTAAGAGGAAAGTTCATAGCACTAAGTGCCCACATGAAGAAACTGGGGAATAGTCACACTAGAGAATTAACAGCACAACTGAAAGCTCTAGAACAAAAAGAAGCAAACTCACCCCAGAGGAGTAGATGCCAGGAAATAATCAAACTGAGGGCTGAAATCAATAAAGTAGAAACAAAGAAAACAATACAAAGAATCAATGTAACAAAGAGTTGGTTCTTTGAGAAAATCAACAAGATAGACAAACCTTTATCCAAACTAACCATGCAAATTAACAAAATCAGAATGAAAAGGGAGACATAATGGACACTGAGGAAATCCAGAGAATCTTCAGGTCATACTTTGAAAACCTGTACTCCACAAAACTCAAAAATTTAAAGGAACTGGACAATTTTCTGGACAGATATCACTTACCAAAATTAAATCAAGAACAGATAAGCAGTTTAAAAAGACCTACAACCCCTAATTAAATAGAAGCAGTCATCAAAAGTCTTCCAACCAAAAAAAGCCCAGGGCCAGATGGCTTCAGTGCAGAATTCTACCAGAAATTCAAAGAAGAGCTAATACCAATTCTCCTCAAATTGTTGGACACAATTGAAGCAGAGGTTCATTGCAAAACTCTTCTTTTTGAGACTACAATTACCTTGGTATCCAAGCCACACAAAGACACAACCAAGAAAGAGAACTACAGACCAATATCCCTCATGAACATTGATGGAAAAATACTCAATAAAATACTGGTAAATCGGGGGCTGGAGAGATGGCTCAGCGGTTAAGAGCACTGGCTGCTCTTCCAGAGGTCCTAAGTTCAATTCCCAGCAAACACATGGTGGCTCACAACCATCTGTAATGAGATCTGGTGTCCTCTTTCAGCCTGCAGCATACATGCAGACAGAACACTGTATACATAATAAATAACTAAATCTTTAAAAAAAAAAATACTGGTAAATCTGGGCTGGAGAAATGGCTCAGAGGTTAAGAGCACTGACTGCTCTTCCAGAGGTCCTGAGTTCAATTCCCAGCAACCACATGGTGGTTCACAACCATCTGTTATGAGATCTGGTGCCCTCTTCCGGTGTGCAGACATACATGGAAGCAGAATGTTGTATACATAATAAATGAAATATTAAAAAAAGAATGATATCTTAAAAAAAAAATACTGGCAAATCGAATCCAAGAACACATCAGAGAAACCATCCACCACGATCAAGTAGGCTTCATCCCAGGAATGCAGGGATGGTTCAACATATGAAAATCTAACCATGTAATCCACCATATAAACAAACTGCAAAAGAAAACCACATGATCATCTCACTAGATGCTGAAAAAGCCTTTGACAAAATCCAACACCCCTTCATGATAAAGGTCCTGGAGAGATCAGGGATAACAGGAACATACATGAATATAATAAAAGCAATACACAGTAAACCAACAGCCAACATCAAACTAAATGGAGCAAATAAGACAACAAAAGGAGATCAAGGGTACACAAAATGGAAAGGAAGTCAAACTTTCATTATTTGCAGATGATGTCAGTTTACATTAAGTTACTTGAAAAACTCTACCAAGGAACTCCGACAGCTGATAAACACCTTCAGCAAAGTGGCAGGAATGAGATTAACTAAAGAAAACCAGTAGCCCTACTATATGCAGACAATAAATGAGCTGAGAAAGAAATCAGAGAAACATCACCCTTTACAATAGCCACAAACAACATAAAATATCTTGGGGTGGCCGGGCAGTGGTGGTGCACACCTTTAATCCCAGCACATAGGAGGCAGAGGCAGGCGGATCTCGGTGAGTTGGAGACCAGCCTTGTCTTCAAAGAGAGTTCCAGGACAGTCTTCAAACATACAGAGAAACCCTGTCTTGAAAAACCAAAATGAAAAATAAAAAAACAAAAACTTGGTGTAACACTAACCAAACAAGTGAAAGACCTGTATGATAAGAACTTTGAGTCTTTAAAGAAAGAAATTTAAAAAGATACCAGAAAATGGAAAGCATGGGATCTCCCATACTGTTGGATAGGTAGGATCAACATAGTAAAAATGGTAATCTTGCCAAAAGCAATCTACAAATTCAATGCAATCCCTATCAAA